TTCTTGGTCTCTTCTCATAGCAGAAATTTCTCATCTCTCGAAACTCAGCTTGAGTGTCATCTGAAAGATGGCTTGCTGTCCACCTCCTCTAATGTGTGTCTGACTCATTCTTCTCTGTTGTGACTCTTTTTTTCCCTTTGAATGAAACTTCCCATAATCCTAGTTATTTTATTTATTTGTTTATTGTCAGTCTTTGCCATTAAAATGTAAATTCCATGGGGACAGACCCTGGTCAGTCAGGTTCCCTGTTGCATCCCCAGGACCTAAGACCATCTGGTACATAGTCGGTACTTAACAGGCGCCTGTTGAGTGAAACAGATGAGAGAATGTGAACCCCTCTGTGGATCACACATCATGATCTCAGAGGCCTTCGAAGCCTTGCACAGGATATGCACTTGGCCTTCCTGTCCCTTCATTACTTAGCTCATGTATTAGCGTTCTCCAGAGAAGCAGAACCCATTGAATATATCTGTATCTATATCCATAGATATATCAGAGATTTACTATGGGAACTGGCTTATGCAACTTTGGAGGATGAGAAGTCTAAAGATCTGTTGTCAGCAAACTGGAGAATCAGAAAAGCCAGCGGTGACATTCAGTTCAAGTACAAAGGCCTGGGAACCAGGAAAGCGGATGTTGTAACTCCCATCTGAGGCTAAAGCCTCGAGAAGGAAGAGTTTCAGTGTCCATAGGCAGAAAGAGAGGGATGTCTCAGCTCAGGAAAAGAGAACAAGTTCTCCTTTCCTCTGCCTTTTTGTTCTATCCAGGCCCCAGATTACATGTGACCTTGCTCTTCTAAGTCCTTGTGTGTGTATATGCACATAATTAAATGCATATTGTTATGTTGTTGAGAGCACACAATATGTATCATGTTTTCACACCCGACAAATATTTATCAACTTAACGTCCCAAAACCAAGAGTATTTTGATAACCAAGAATACACTACACCATTTCAATCACGAAAAAAATGTAATTTTGCCTTCACGGAGACAAAAATTTCCTGAAAGACAAAAATGGCAACAGTCCTCTGAATAAAGATGTTGGCAGAGTTACAATTAAAATACCGCATTCCCTTAATGCTCAATTTAAAATAGGGTATAAAGCACTGGGCGCGGTGGCTCACGCCTGTAATCCCAGCACTTTGGGAGGCCGAGGCGGGTGGATCATGAGGTCAGGAGATCGAGACCATCCTGGCTAACACAGTGAAACCCCGTCTCTACTAAATATACAAAAAATTAGCCGGGTGTAGTGGCGGGCGCCTGTAGTCCCAGCTACTCGGGAGACTGAGGCAGCAGAATGGCATGAACCGAGGGAGCGGAGCTTGCAGTGAGCAGAGATCGCACCACTGCACTCCAGTCTGGGCGACAGAGTGAGACTCTGTCTCAAAAAATAAAATAAAATAAAATAAGGTATAAAGCAACAGGATATAATGCTTCTAAGAGAAAGATCAGAGCTATCCTAGTAAAATGTTAGCAAGAAGGTATGTGTCCACTGAGTTATTTAGCAGTGTATTCTTACAGTAATCCCCAAAGAGATACACATGTACATCAATGGTTATCATCAAGATGGAAATAGCAATGTGTCTGTGTAGTTCCTTCCTCATGCTCCTTCTGCCGCTCTGTTGCTGACCCAGTTAATGAGTCCTGGGGGTGCACTGCTCAGAGGTGGCTTCGGAATGCCATGTTCAAGAGGCTTCTTCTGTGTTAATTATAATAAAAGACATTTACAAATGGGCCAATTCACTAGCTTTACTTTTTAACATACATTGTCATCTCAAGACATCTAAAAAACCATCGATGTTGTGAGATAAAGAATGAACATGGTCTACCTTTGCAGGGACATGGATGGAGCTGGACGCCATTATGCTCAGCAAACTAATGCCTGCAGAAAACCAAACATTGCATGTTCTCACTCATAAGTGGGAGCTGAACAATGAGAACACATGGACACAGGGCGGGGAGCAGCACACACTGGGGCCTGTCAAGGAGTGTGGGGGGTGGTGATGGTAAAGCATTAGGGAAAAGACCTAATGTGTATGCTGGGTTTAATACCTACGTGACGGGTTGACAGGTGCGGCAAACCACCATGGCACATGTTTACCTATGTAACAAACCTGCACATCCTGCACATGTACCCCAGAACTTAAAAATAAAAAAGAATGAACATAGTCTATAATAAACACAAGCACTTACTAAAAACTGCACATTTGGAACTGCGGTGATAACCCCAAATTGTCCTCTAGATATGGAGTTACCAGCAAGGAGCTCCACTGTCACTGTCCTCCCAGCTCCATTGCCCCGATGAGGAAGCGTGAAAATGTGTCTGGCCCCATCCAAGAGGTGGGTTAACAGAGGTCACTCCCAGAAGACAGTCCTTCCTATAAACTGACAAAAATGGCCAAAGTGTGTTCAAAGCAGAGAGAGTTAAACAATCTCTTTATAAAACAACCCACGTTTATAAAGGGGTTGTTTTGCTACCTCTGCTTTTAACACTCTTTGGGCACATAGGACTTGTTTATTCCTTACTGGAGACCAAAATTAATGAAAATACACAGAACCATGGTCAGACAACCTGAAATTGTCTAAACTTCCCTCTGCACCCTTCTCCTCCAAGAGATCAAATTTAACACCATTCTCGAAAGATAATCATACCTGTAAGTTAGCAAAAACATCTAAAGTGTATTATTTTATATTCTCTACTTTTAACATATATGTGCACTTCTAAATTCTTAGGCTACGTGATTCAGAGATGATGGAAATTCATATGCATTAACTGCATACATGCAACAAAGGCCATGTCCTGAAAGCATCTTCTACACAGGAACATTCTGGCCTAGAACCCTTCCTCTTCTCACATCTATCAACCCCGTGGGCAAATCGATGCATGTGCAATGCTTAGAGGTGATGTTCACAATGTTCACAAGTCATTTTTAGAAGACAGTCTTTCCTGTGAATTTTAATTTACAAAACTTACAAAATTGCTTACTAACTGGACTTTGGTCAAACACTGGCAACCTCTTTAACATCTAGAAAGAGTAGGTGCTATAAAATTAGGACTTGTTTGCTGATCATATACACTACATGCACAGCAAAGTGAGAGAAAACGCAGCCCTGCGAGACACTGGCTAATCCGGCCTCACCCATAGGCGTGTTGGCAGGGAGCCCACGAGCACTTGCTCCTTTCTGCTCTTCCCTAGACCAGAACACAAATACAACGTGTCCTGTCCAAAGAGGCAGTTTGGCCATTCCATTGCCCAAAGACAATGTTTCATGTGGATTTTAGCAAAAAGATTTGGAAAATATGTCCCTTTACAACATCTACTTTTAATATATACCAACCAGTACTTCAGAACATCAAGAAAAATTATGTGTCTCAGAAAGGAACATGGTGAGGCCAACTACATCTACAGTGGTGAAGAACAGAAAATGCAGGCAGGACGATGGTTGGGAAATGAACATGTCCGCTAAACATGACCGATTGGGCATAGAACCCTTCTTCTGAACTCCACCCAAACTCAGCTTCCGCATAAATTCAGGGTGTGCACAGACCTCCTAGAGCTTATTCATGACCCTCTAGACAAGCCTGTGGAGTCTAAGTTAAGAACCCCTCTAGTTAGGAATTTTCTGTCTTTCCTGACTGCACAGTTACTTTGCTGAAGAAGAAGAGAGGGCTTTGTTGAAGTCTTCCCATGCTTTCTGCACAGGGCTCTGGCCTTGGAGAAAGGATTTCCAGTTACTGAAGTGTCACTTGGCCCTGGGTCTCCTCCCGGGAGAGAGAAGTGTACGGCTCCCAAGGTTCCTGGCAGTTTTGAAAGAGCTCTCAGCCACAGCCAGCTTTACTTTGGCAAGTGAGGCCATCCCCTTTCTTTCCTCCTTTCCTTTCCCGTGGAACCTACTCCTTCCATCTGTCTTTCAAGCTCTGCCTCAGAAATGGCAATTCAAGCCTGATTTTCTCCCTGAATGCACTCTCTCTGTGAAAGAGGCTTTTCACCAAGAATGTGGTGCTGGTGTTTCTCTTGCCAATGGGCTAAACAAAGACCTCCGCACCGGGTACCATTTGGGCAGGCCTCTTCACACATGCCTGTCCTTCTCCATCGCACTTGGCTAACGCCAACAACCTGTGTGTGGAAAGTATAAAGAGAAGGAAAAATTCCCATGAAAAATCCTTCCACAAAGCCATTGCGAGACAACTGTGGCATCATCTGATAACATGATTTCTATTTTGCATCTGTTTCATTGTCGGAGGGCACTCATAGTTGCAAGCCTTGCATGTACATATGTAAATTATAAGTGAATGCGTCTGCTCAGGTTATTAGCCATTGATTGTGAAATAATCTGAAGTTTGAGAGTCTCAGTGACTAACCTACAGGTGCTGAGAGCATTCAAAGACCTACTAGCATCAGTATTGATCACCTCTTTTCTCCAGAGTAGCAAATGAGAAACCAGGAAGAGCTCGGTTTCACTTCCAACTTGTTCTTTAAGGGCCTCAGAGTTAATAGTTGTCCTTATCTAGACACCCTAATGCCACGACAAATCAACGAGAAAAGAAACATGCCCCAAATCAGCACCCAGACACGCCGGTGCCCGCCTGCGTCCACACTCCTGCAACAGCTGCTGCCCATGGGGTAGGACTGAGCCAGGTCTAAGATCAGCAGCCTCCCAGCTCCTCAGCTTCCTGCACATTGACTCACAACGGAATCAAAACTCAGGAGCTCAACTCTCTGGTTTCTTCTGCTTTCTCTTCTGCAATTGTTTGTTTTTTAATTTAATTTAATTTTTATTTTATTGGCAACCGTGAAAGAGATAGTCACAAGACTCAGAGCAAAGTCAGAGACCCCTAAACAGATGGTTCTCCCTTAGCTTATCAGGCTGGAGCAGAGTTTAAACCAAGCTGGAGGAATCCCTCCAGCTCTGGGCACAATGCAATCTCTGCATCCAGGCCTTCATCGCATTGGCTGGAAGCTGGTTCGCTTCATCTGAGGGCCTACTTCGAGGGGATTCATGCTTCCGCAAGCCTGAGCATCCCTCACTCCTGGCGCTGGTGGTTCCACTCGGGCATGGACTGGAGCATCCACTTGGTCTGGAGCTTGTACAAATAGTAGCCGTAAACCACGACTTCGGTGAGGTCTGAAGACTCCAGAGCCTTCAGCTCGAGCATGGCCTTGCTCACCAGCTCAGTGTAAGGGATTCCTCCCTCCCCAGCCTCCAGAGAGTTGGAGACAGCCCTACCCCCCGGTGGAGGAGGAAGCTGATTACTGGTGTGCTTCCAGGATACCAGAAGCTCTTGAAGTCCAACATTCCCTTTCAGTGATATTACTGACATTTCCCCAAAGCTGTGTACTTCAGAGTTGCACATGGCATTGTTAACAACTATTTTTTAAAAACATTTCTTTTAGAGACGGGGTTTCGCCATGTTGGCAGGTTGGTCTCAAACTTTTGGGCTCAAGGGATCCACCCTCCTCAGCTTCCCAAAGTGCTGGGATTAACAGGCCTGAGCCCAGCCCAACAAAACCCTTGTGAGTTAATTGGATAATTTTGCCTTTTTCTAAACCTTTGAGTTGAGACTCCTTTATCACTGTCATTTCCAGCACCTCAGTCTTCCAGTCTTCCGTTTTCCTTTCCATCACCTAATTTTTTTTTTTTTTTTTTTTTTGAGACAAGGTCTCGCTCTGTCACCCAGGCTATAGTGCAATGCTGTACAGTCGCGGCTCACGGCAGCCTCCACCCCCTGAGCTCAAGTGATCCTCCCCCTTCAGCCTTCCCAGTAGCTGGGACTACAGGCGAGCCTACCACGCCCAGCTAATTTTTGTATTTTTTTGTAGAGATGGGGTTTCATCATGTTGCTCAGGTTGAATCGCCTAACTTCTTATAGAAAGGCTCCACAACTTCTCGAGGTTCTGGAACTTTCATTTGATTTGAGGGTGAGTGGCCTTTGACTCTTGGGAGAAAGTTAGTGACGCAGAAATGCACTCGGGAGAATTGAAAACAGACCCGAGGAACGTGTGTGCGGAGGCTGCGCGGACCGCCAGGAGGGCTGCGATGCGTGGGGGGCAGTGTGGGCGGCGGGAGCACGGGTGCAGGGAGCAGCTGCTCAGGCGGGAGCCCTGCGGGACGTGTCCCTCTGTGCACTGGAGAGCAAGAGGTTTTGAGGTGTTCCTTCTTTTTTTTGAGACGGGGTCTTGCTCTGTCGCCCAGGCTGGAGTGCAGTGGCACCATCTCGGTTCACTGCAAGCTCCGCCTCCCGGGTTCAGGCCATTCTCCTGCCTCAGCCTCCCGAGTAGCTGGGACTACAGGCGCCCGCCATGGATAATTTTTTTGTATTTTTAGTAGAGACGGGGTTTAGCCTTGTGTGCCAGAATGGTCCCGATCTCCTGACCTTGTGACCTGCCCGCCTCGGCCTCCCAAAGTGCTGGGATTACAGGCGTGAGCCACCGCGCCCGGCCGAGGTGTTCTTTCTATGCCAGTGGTTCTGAACCTTGACCACATGTTAGAATCATTAGAGGAGCTTAAAATGTCCAGACTGTGCCCCAGAGCAGAATCCCTCGGGATAGGGACCATGGATCAGGACTTTTTTTAAGCTGATAATTTTATACATATATATACATATATAAATATATATATGTATAGATGTGTATATATGTGTGCACGTGTGTGTACACATATATAAAGTCTTTTGTTTCCTGAACTTCATGTGAACTGGTCAGGCTCCTGTTAGACCCCTGGAACCTGGTTAATGGGAACAACCACAGAGGGCATCAAGTGGGGAGAGGCTAGGGAGATTGCTATATATATATATAGCATGAAAGGAAGAGAGAGAGAGAGAGAAAGAAAAGAGAAAAGAAAGTGAAAAGAACGGATGGAGGGAGGGAGGGAGCCATCTCTTTATACTATTCACACATAGGTTGTTGGCGTTAGCCAAGTGTGACAGAGAAGGACAGGCGTGTGTGAAGAGGCCCGCCCAAATGTTACCCGGCGTGGAGGTCTTTGTTTAGCCCATTGGCAAGAGAAACACCATGTTCTCATGAGAGAGAGAGAGAGAAGGTCAGTCCTGTCACCCAGGGTAGAGTACAGTGGTGTGATCATATAAGCTGATAATTTTTAAACAGGTAACTTCAGTATGCCAGCACGGTTGAGAACCGTTGTTCAATGCAAACTTAACATATGAAGCCCCTCCCATGTGTCAGGCACGGTGTCAGATGCTGTTATGGACTGAATGTTTGTGTTCCGCACAATTTCTATGTTGAAGTCACACCCTCAATGTGGTGGTATTAGGAGGTGGGGACTTGGGCAGGTATAAGGTTGTGAGGATGGAGCCTCATGATGGGATGAGAGCCCTTACAAGAAGAGACACGAGAGAGATGATCTCTTTCCATCTCCTCTCCACCATGGGAGGACAGCAAGAAGGTGGCCTTCTGCAAATGGGGAAGGGTCCTCACCAGGTGTGGGATCTGCCAACACCTTGATCGTGGGCTTCCCAGCCTCAGAACTGTAAGAAATAAGTTTTGTTGTTTAAGTCACCCCATATAATATAATTTTGTTATAGCAGTCTACATTGATTAAGACAGATGCTAAGAGTATAAAGGTGAAGAAATGTCCCAGTACTTCATGGGAACACATCCCAGTGGACTACAGAATCAAAGATGAAAGAGAGATGGATACACGTGGTTGCTGGCTCTCCCCTGCTGCTCAGATGCCTGGACCACTTGACTGTGTTCTTTATCAATGGTTGGTGTTTGTTTTCACTTTGTGGCTCACGCCTGTAATCCCAGCACTTTGGGAGGCTGAGGCGGGTGGATCACTTGAGGTCAGGAGTTCGAGACCAGCCTGGCCAACGTGGTGAAACCCCATCTCTACTAAAAATACAAAAGTTAGCCGGGTGTGGTGGTGTGCACCTGTAACTCCAGCTACTGAGGAGGCTGAGTTAGGAAAATCACTTGAGCCTGGGAGGCAGAGGTTGCGGTGAGCTGAGATCAAGCCACTGCACTCCAGCCTGGATGACAGAGCGAGCCTGCATCTCAAAACAAAACAAAACAAACCAACCAAGATGCACAAATGATCAGGGCATCAATTTTGCAATACAACAATGACTAAACATTTCTGTAGAGAATCCCAATGGCTTTTACATTTTCAGTGCCACTGTTCTCTTGCAAATAATATGATGTAACCCATCAATATTTGGAAGGATCTCTGAGATTGCTTTAAAATTATTGCACATTAATAATTATGAACATTTGGGCAATGCTTTTTGATTTTATAAAATGTCTTTAAGTATAAGCACTGGTTTTCAACCCGGGGCAACTCCCTCCCCCAGAAGACATTTGGCAATGTTGGGAGACATTTTTCATTGTCCCAGCTGGAGAGAGTGTTACTGGCATCCAGTGGGTAGAGGCCGGAGAGGCTGCTAAACATCTGACAATGCACAGGACAGCCTCTGACAACAAAATAATATCCCATCTAAATGTCAATGATGTTGAGGTTGAGAAACTCCCATACAAGATCTCATGGAAATGTTTGCAATTTTTGCAGTTATTGCATGAGTTAGATATTTTTACAATTCTTTTACAAATCAGGATCCTGAGGGTCAAAGATGATGAGTTACTCATTCTAGACTGTGAGTGACAAAGCCGGGTATATCATGCTGAGCCTGTTGAACTGCAGGCTAGTGTCATGTAGAACCAGTGTGGTAGGAGTGGGCAAGCGATTTCCTGTGCATCTCTGCTTAGAAGTGAAGCAGAAACTCATGTGGAGCCACCTTAGCTGAACAAAATAATTTTCTTGACCTCGTTTGATTCCTTGGTCTTGAACAGGTTTTGGGCTTAAGGCGTGGAAAGTTTGGTTCTTGCCCATGTTATTTGGCTCTTTTCATTTTTGTTGTTATTGTGGTCAAGACTATTTTGGCTGGTGCAGATGAAGTCAACGGAGATTAATCTCTGACCTTGTCCTTGAAAATCCCCTACCAGGAGCCAGACCACTCGAGAGCACAATGCCTCGTGAAAGCAGCAGCTCCTTGTAAGGCAGATGCTCCCTTCCTTGAATTTCATGTGGTGAGGTCAGGCCCCTGTTAGATCCCTGGACCCTGGTTAAGGGAAGCAACCACAGGCAACAAAGCCCAACTGGTCCCTGCCGCCCTGGGCTGGGGTGGAGGGGGATGCTGGCAACTTCATGGAGCACGGCAGTCCCTCTGCACTGCTGTGGGCTCCGGGTGAGCTGGGAATTCCAGTCTGGAATCCAGAAACTCTGCTTGTGGTCAGACCCAAGAAAAGGCTTATTTGTTTCAATCAGTGCTTTCCCATCTGTACAAAAGAAAGATTTTCAGGTCTCTTTGTGTGAGTCACAGTTCTCCAGAAAAAGAGAACCAGCAAGAGATTCTACATTGTATTAGTCCGTTTTCATGCTGCTGATAAAGACATACCCAAGACCAGGGAACTTACAAAAGAAAGAGCTCTAATGGACTCACAGTTCCACATGGCTGGGGAGGTCTCACAATCATGGTGGAAGGTGAAAGGCACATCTCACATGGTGGCAGACAAGAGAAGAGAGCTTGTGCAGGGAAACTCCCCTTTATAAAACCATCAGATCTCGTGACACTGTCACAATAACCGCACGGGAAAGATTTGCCCCCATGATTCAGTTACCTCCCACTGGGTCCCTCCCACAACATGTGGGAATTGTGGGAGCTACAATTCAAGATGAGATTTGGGTGGGGACACAGCCAAACCATATCATACATATATAGAGACAGAGAGAAAGAATTTTTCATCTATATTTGTATTGTGTGAAATTATATATATATGTGTGTGTGTGTGTGTATATATATATATATATATATAGAGAGAGAGAGAGAGAGAGAGAGAGAGAGAGAGGCTTATTATAAGGAATTGGATCCTATGATCATGGAGGCTGAGAAACCCCAGAATCTGCAATCAGTGAGCTGGAGACTCAGGAGAGCCGATGGTATAAATTCCGTCTGAGTCCACATCCTAAGGTAGAAGAAGACAAGTGTCCCAGTTTGAAGACAGGTGAGGGACAACAGATTCTCCTTTACTCAGCCTTTTTGTTTCCTTCAGACCCTCAACTGATAAGACGTGGCCCACCCACATTGGGGAGGGCAATCTGCTTTACTCAATCCATCAAGTCAAATGTTAATCTCACCCAGAAACACCCCCACAGAGACACCCAGGATAATGTTTGACCAAATATCTGAGCATCTGTGGTCCAAACAAGTTGACACAAAAGGGTAACCCTCCCCCTCTTGTTCCCAGATGTATTTTGATATGTTTGTGAAGCACCTTGGATATGTGCTTATAGGCTCAGGAAGTATCAGAGGACACCATGGTAGTATGCCTGTTTTCCATAAAAATG